TCCTTGAATATGCTTTAAGCATAAATTTGTGAGTTATTGGCATAGGAACAAACCCCATAGCCGACATTTCATTCAAAACAATCATGGCCTTTTCAAAGGCACCAGTTTTACAAATCCCACCAATCAGAATGTTATAAGTAACTGCATTTGGCATTATGCCATAGCTCTTCATCTCATTCAAAAGAACCAAAGCATTTTCTGTATTCCCTTTTATGCAGTATGAGTTAATTAAAGTGTTATATGTAGCACAATCTGGAGCCAAACCCAAATCTGTCATTTTTGAAAACACAGATTGTGGTTCATATTTCCCAAGCCTCAAAAGCCCCTTAACCAAGGCATTGTATGCAATAACATCAAATCGTGTATTTTTCTCTGTCATTTCCTGGACGATTGAGAGAGCTTCGGACTCGTTTCCTTCTTTAAAGTAGCCATCTATAAGAGAAGTGTAGTTAACAATATCTGGGTCAAGACCCTTAGAGCGCATATCTTCAATTATTGACCTAGCTTCCTCCATCCTTCCACCTCTTTTCAAGTTGTTCAGCAAGATATCATATATGATATTGTTTTCCTCCAATCCCTGTGATTTCATCTCCTTATATAAACGGGCAGCAGCCTCCTGTTCATCTGCCCTAAAATAGCCATCGAGTAAAATTGCATAGACATGAGTATTTGGCAAAATATTCCTTTCGACCATCTTCCATAACACATCAGCTGCTTTATTAAGCATTCCCTTTTTAGCATATCCATTTATAATAGATGAAAAGGTAACAACATTTGGAAGAATGTGTTCCTTCTCCATTTTCTGCAATACTAACTCTGCAAGTTCCATGTCTCCTAACTTGCAATAACCACCAAGCAATGCTGAATATGTGACACAGTTTGGGATAAGATTGAGCTTTAAAATTGTTCGGAACATTTCCTCTGCCTCTTCGGATTTTCCAACCTTGAAAAGCCCATCCAAAATAGTTGTGCACGAAACTATATCGAAAGAAATGCCCCGAACCACCATTTGGCTTTGAAGATTAAAAGCTTCCATTACCCTCCCTGATTTGAACAATGAATTAATAATCGTAGAGTACGAGACATGATTAGGGTCTATACCCATTTCATACATCTCTCTCAGCAATAGTGCCGCTTCAGTTAATTTCCCATGCCTGCAGAGTCCATAAAGAATAGAACTACAAGTAACCACATCAGGCATGATTCCATTCATAATCATTTGCTCATACAAAAAAAGGGATTCTTCAATTCCACGATGCTTACCGTATGCAGAAATCAATGTCGTATATGTTGCAACGGTTGGCCGCAAATCTCTACTATCAGCCTGAGTTTCAACAACATAACTTTGTAACTGACCAGATCCTTCATCCCTTCTTATGCCCAAAATTTCACTAACAAGAGACTCAGCCCTTACAAGATCACCATTTTTACAAAAAGCATTGAGTAAAGTATTATAAGTAACAATATCAGGCCTGATACTGCTCCTCCAGCCATTGTCCATGAAATCTAGCGCATGACTCGTCAATCCAGCTTTACAATAACCATCAATTAAAGTGTTCAAACCAATAACACCGTGTCGAATCCCCCCATCAACCAAGTTGTACATGACCCACTCCGCATATTGAACCAATCCAATTCTGCAATACCCTTTTACTAATATATTGCATGTAACTGAATCAACACATATACCCTTTTTAACCATTTCAGACAACAACCCAAAACCATGATTAGTCAACCCTTTTTGACAGAAACCCCAAATAACAGTGTTGTAAGTAACAGTATCAACAAAATCACTGTTCCTTAAATATCCTAAAGCCAAATCCAAGTCCCCCATTTTGCATAATGAATGAACCAATATGTTAAAACTAACAACATCAGGCACAACCCCACAAGATACCATATCTGAATACAACACTTTTACCTGAGAAACCAAACCAGAGGCATTGAATTGGTACAAAAGGTTATTCCAAAAGGGCAAAACAGGAACAATACCAAGTCCACGCATATAAGAGAAAGCATTTGAGGCTTTGTAAAACCTTCCACATTCCAAGTAGAGGCGAATGAGGGTGCAAAAGAAAGAAGCATGTAGATGGGTCTTTGTGGGGATTGTCAAAATCGAATCTTTTTGGAAATGGGAGGAGAATCTTCGAAACAAAGGGTAGAAGTTGTTGTTGTTGTTGGAATAGTGAGAACCCTTGAAAAGTAACATAAGTGTGTTGATATGTAGCTTCTTAAAATGGTTCATCTTCACGCATGAGAGAAAACAAGGAATTTCAAACATCTACTGCCATTGTTTCTGACCTAAACTTCCCAGGTCAATTCCGAGCTATTATTTTTTCTTAGGTTTTAATTTTGTTTATTAATAAAAACATGAGGAAAATATAAAGTGAATTAGTTTACAAACTATTAATATATTTTTTTTTCCTCATAAAATAAAGTGTCAATTATGTTGGAGTATGCATCACTTGTATCTGATATTCATTTTCCACAGCTGAAATATGGATTTTGTTACCTAAAAACAATGGTTGAATGTCTTTTGGATTAGATGAAATTAACATTGTTTTGATATAATGATGAAAATGATAAACATAAAATGATAAACATGAATAATTAATAATTAAATTGATAATTTATTTTATCATCAGACCAAATTAAAATGGTTGCACAAGGTGACAAAACTTGTCCAAGAATCACACAAAAGTAACATTTTATTTCCTTGTTATGAGTTTGGAGCCATGACACATATGTTATAGCCTTATGAATGAAATTTCATATGGCAAAACTCATTCTTCTTATCACAAACTACCATTTTGGGCATATTTTCTTCATTGATTCCAAGAGTAAGTTTTTTAAATCATTAAATTTTTCTAGAAATGATAATTAAGATGTGAAGTAAGGGAATTCACACTCTTTTCTCATTATCAACAAAACTTATAATTTTTCTTGTTGGTGGGTCAAGCTCCAAATTAAATGAGCTTCTCTTTGAGAGAAACACTTCAAAAGAGTATACATGCATGTAGTGTGAGAGAATAGAGAAAATGATTATTTATTTGACAAATGGACATATAATCTATGTAATTGAGATTTAACCATTGCTAATTACTTCCTTCATAAAAACATGCATAGAGTTAAAGTTCAAGCTCAATATAAAATTGGAAGTACAACATTCACATGCTTTGAAAAGTTGTATTGCAATTAGGCAATGCGATGTAGCTATTTTTTGTGCTAAGTGGTACTCACCACTATAACTTATCCAACCACATTCCAATATTGACAAATATAGTTACTTCTATAATTTTACTAAATTGCTGAAACAAACCCATTTTGTGATTAATTTGAATGAATGGGAATTTCTTTCACTATATTTTTTAATTAAAAGTATATTTTAGCTTACCATTTCAAATCCAAGTAAAATACATTTAATACTTTAAAATAAAATGTTGAGTGCATATTTAGTTCATAGTTAATTAAAAAACATGTACTTTTCTTGTACAAAACTTAATAGCATATTACATACTTATGCTTATAAAAGAGAAAGAATCGCCTAATTTTTTTTCTAAAACCTTTCCCGCACATCTATCAACCCTTAATCGTATATTACATATTTATGCTTATAAAAGAGAAGGAATCACCTATTTTTCTTTCTAAAACCCTCGCCACAATCTACCAACCCATTTCTCTTTTGTCATCGATGAATACTTACACATCTCAAAAATATTGTATCATGATATGCTTTTAGAGTTAGCTTACCCTCGATGGATCACGATCATTTGTTCCCACCAAAATTAGTGACAAATTTCTTTGTTCTACAACTAAGACAATCATCTCTTATTCTTTTCAAAAATCCAGTTGCACACCACCCAAAACATTGCATGGCTTCAATTGATGAATTATCAAACATCTCCATAATATTATATCCAAGATTTCCATTAAAGTATACACATTGCATGGTTAATATCATGTTTGTTGATTTTGTGTTACACGACGAGGTTAGTATCATGTTTTTTTGTCTTTTTATTTTCACATCATTTGAATCTCTTAGTTTATGTTGATATTTATCATTCATTTTTGAAGTATAACTCTAATCTAGAACCAAAAAAAATTGAATTTCAATGTATGGTTAATTTTTTAGCTTTCTGATCCATCGTAATATCAATTTTTTACCCTACCAATAAACCATTTAGTTTTGATATTTTGAATGATTTAAAAATTACTGTTCGATTTAATACTAGATTACTCCAATAATATTATACTTATCTTCTTATTGTTGATAATGTAGATTTGACCATTAGTTGAATTTATTGATAACAATAGATTAAAACATGACATATAACATTTTTTTTTTATTTTTAAAATAGTAAAACAAACATTTAGAAATATTGCATTTGGAATTGGCCATATCTTTTAATTTACACTTTGAGGCATCCATACCCCGATTTTCCCATTGTAAGTGGTTGATAATCTAGTTGTAAATTCTCACATCTATCTTTTATTTATTTACATGAATGTCTAGGTAGAAGAAGAGTGCATTTCAAGGTAGAGGCAAGTGAATGGAGATCGTATGTTCCCATTTGTATCTCTATCTGATTAAAAGTGACATTTAATTAAAAATAAAAATCATAAAAATAAAAAACTATCATTTTTATAAAAAATTTAGAATTTAATTACTAAGATAGAGAAACATGATTTTTTGGGAGATGAGATATTTGTTTAAGGACATGAGTCTATTTATAAATTTAAAAATGGAGTTTGTTAACATGATCTCACCCCATTGTGAAGGATCATGTTAGCAAGGTGTACCAAAAAATAATGTTAAAATTATCCTTCGTTTTTTAAATCAACATAACTCTTTGTGAAGATTATTTTAGTAAAAGCACTTAAAAATCTAATTCTCTCATCCCTAACCTCAAACCCTCTTGGACTCATCTCATTCTTCAATATTTTGCCTCCACACAAAAACACAAACCTCTACCCTCCCTTGTTCAATTCTTAATCTTTTTCTTTATTCATTTTCATGTCGTATCTCGTTCTGTAATTCATCTCTTTGTTTATACCTCTTGCGAAGCTCTTTCTCTGCAATATCACAAATTTCCCTTTGTGCTTCATGTCGTATCTCATTCAACTCATAATTTTCTCCTTCAGAGAACAGAAATGAAAAGGCTCTATACCTATCATTCACATCATCATACTTGTCTTATGGAATATAAGAATAAGAATTCAAAACAAATAAAAGAAGGAAACCTGAAGTCTGAGTTTGAAGAAGCAAAAATTGATAGGAAGTGGTTTACAGAGATTCCTAATTGGAAATCCCACCATGGCCTTCCAATTGCAAAAATTGATAGGAGAAACTCATAATTGCAAAAATTGCTTTTACTAAAATAACATTCACAAAAACTTATAAACTTAAGTTGATTTAAAAACAAAGGATAATTTTGACCATATTTTTTGGTTGCTAATACGATCTTTCATAAAATGAGGTGGAATTATGTTAGCAAACCCCTTTAAAAATATATTATTATATTTACTTATTTGTAGAAATTATTTATGCTAGATATTTAATTATAAATATGTTCTTAGAAATATTAATCTAATAAGTATATTTATAAATTCGTGTAACTAAATTCTATATCTGATATTCATATTCATTATTTTAATTAAATTCATATGGGAAAAAAACTAATAATATCATTTTTAATCCAATTAAAATATATACCCCGTTCAATATTGATAATAGAACAATGGAAAATAATTATTTGTGTGAAAAAAATATGGAGTAAAAAGAGCTGGATAGAAAAGATATTTATAAACACAATAATAATATTAAATATCTTTGATAAATAATTTCAAAAGATATATTAATATATTAGTGATATGTTTAGTTTTATTATTTATGAAATTAATTTATTTATCAGATTTTGTCCTTATTACATGAATAATTTTTAGGAGTTTAATAAACAAATCTCTTATTAGATTAATATGTAGTATAAATTATATACAAATATTATAAATACAAGGATATCTTCATTATTTAAGTTATTTATGACTAAATATCTTTCATAAATAGCTTATAAAAATATAAATATCATAATAATTTTTTAAAATTATAAATCCAATTTTATCCCTAATAGACTAATTTCATAGAAATTAACCATACTCTATTAATATAAGAAAATATTCTTATTAGCCAACAACATTTGTTCTAGTTAGTAAGAGGTAGCAATGTTGTAAAAACTGTAGCGTACCGGTCGGTTCAACCGGAAAACTGGTGAAGCGGACCCCTAACCGGTACGGTACGTATGTTATACCGCATATACAATAGAACCGGTGAAAACTGGTGAACCGGTTTAAACCGGCCTGTTTGTACATTAATTTTTTTTTTAAATTTCAAATTTTCAATTCTTCACCAATTCTTCAACTTCAATGATTGATATTTGTGTCATTTATTTATATTTTGTGTTTGTTAAATGATAATTTTGGATTAATATATGTTTTGCACTTTAGACTTTGATTTTGTTAAAGACTTAATGTTGTTTGTTTGTGTGAATTTGGAGTAGATTATGAATATAAATTATAAATCTGAATACCTACTTATTTGAAATTTTTTGTTATAGATTTACATATATATATATATATATATATATAAGCAAGTATGTCCGGTTTAACCGGCATGCGGTTTAATTAATGAATCACTGGTTGAACCACTGTACCACTATACCAGTACTTTGACCGATTTGATAACCGATACGGTTTTAATAACATTGAGAGGTAGACTCATAAGCCATAAATGTACGAGTTTATGTGAGTTCAAATCTTTCTATCAGGGCATGAATTTTGTTGGTAAGTGATTTATAAGTAAATCTATAAATGCTCATGGAGCCATGAAGGTTACGCTATTATGAGTGATGAGTCAACCTAAAATTTACGTAGCAAAATATAAAAATATTATTATGATTAAAATTTATTTTCTTAAATTATTTATTAATGGAATTAAATGAAGATAAATTTTAAAGAATTAATTTATTTTCATGTTTGTTGTTATCATTTCTAACAAGTGTACCTTTTGGAGATAAGAATATATTTTGATTCTTTCAAAATTCTAAATCTAATAAGGAAACAAATCTAATACATAATTAAAAATACTATTATATTAATATATCTTTAGAAATTAGTTTTAAAATATATTTAATTATAAATTAAATAATAAAAATTGTCTCTTTATTCAAAATCTTATTTATAATAATATCTTAAAAACATTATTATAATAGGGTATTTTGTAAGCTTAATTACTATAAATTTATCCATAAATTTTAATAAGTAAACAACTGGACAACTCCGAAAACTAAAAAATCTTTTTTAATTAAAAATAAATTGTTATTACTTATTAGATTAATATATCGTTTTGAAGCTTTTTATGAAAGATATCTCAATTAAAAATAAAGTTAATTAACTTCATTAATTGTTCTAACTTTCTTATTCTCTTAATAAATATTCTTAGGTGGATATTATGCTATGTCTATAGCAACAATTTACTCCCTAATCAAGATGCCTCCACTATGATATAAAAAAAGTTGACTTATAATTTTGGTCTTTTATCGTTTATAATTGAGTGATTTTATTCCCTTCATCTCATTTTGATGATATTTAGTTCCTAAACTTTTTAATTTTTGCACCATTACCCCATTTTTCCATCTTCCATTAGCTAAGAAGTCATATAATTTGTTTATTTACATAAATATGAGATTGTCCATTGGCATACTTATAGGATCAATTTGTATATGATCCCATCACTTTTGAAAACATTTGTTATCATATTATTTTAATAGCTAATAAACTCTATCAACATGATAATCTATTAGCCACATATATAAGCTAATGGAAGATGGAAAATTGGGTTAATGGTGCATAAGTTGAATAAGTAGGATAGCAAATCAAGGAGGAATAAAATCAAACAAGCACAAAAAAATAATAGATCAAATGTGAGTGAAGAAGTTTCAAAACAATGTGATTCAAAAGCTAGAAAGTGTTGTGAGGTATAAGAATTTGATTTTAGGTTTAATTGTGCCATTTCAATTATTCGACTTCTGATTATTCCATTTAATAATTTGACAATATACAGCAGTCAAATATGTTGAATTTTTTTGCAAGATATTTTACTTTTTTTCATAGGAATTAGAATTAATTTCGTTTGTTTACTTTTATCTAATTGTGATTGGTCCACTTTTATGAGGAATACTTATCTCCATTACCGGTTAGCGTAGTCTTATTTTTAGTGCATTTTTAAAGTTAAAAATGTAACTTCAGTATAAATTGAAAGATACAAGTGTCAATATACTTTAGTTTTTCAATTTTTTTTTTCTCATAACCATCAACTCTGATAATGGAGATAAGTCTTATGTATACCGGTGGAAACAAGTTTATATCATCCTTTCTTATTTCTTCTAAACAGTGGAGTTAAACTAAAATTATTGTTTTCTATTAAGCATAAAAGTTAGAGAGGTTGGCTATGTTATGAAGAAAAATCTCAAGAATGACAAATACATTTTCTCTACATTTTTTATCATACAATTTGCACCTAAATCATAATCAACAATGATTATAAGGTATCATAAGTTCATGTTTTTGGGTAATAAAAATATCATTAGCATTGTACATTAACAATGATTTTTTCCACATTGTTTGAACATTATTTATGTGTTAATCTTAACTTAAAAGCTCAACGGTTATTATCCCTAACGACAAACCGATAAATTGGTCTATAAAATATTAGATAAGTGTCACAAATAAGTAAAAAAATGTTGTCAAATCTACAAGGACTTAGTGTATATTAGTCTTTGAACCAAAAATTGTCATGTTTTTAAATGGAGTTTTCAAGTTGTTTGATTACCACTACAATGACTAGTTGGTAAAAATAATTTGGTAATAGATGTTGGATAAATTTCCTAATCACTATCAATAAACATACAATTTAGTAACACTAATTCATTTAAGAACGATTCTTCCATATAAATGACTTCAATGCACTCAAAGTTAATGTCTTACTGAATTAGTAGTTTATGCAATAAAGCTTAATGTCTAGTAATTTTATACAATATGAAGAATTATAACTCACAGAATCATACATATATGCTTAGTAGTCCATGCATGTGAAATTGAGTTAAATGCAACACCTCAAATATATTAATCGTCGATATTTTGATTATATTAGTTGCTTGTTAGAATAGCTCTATATCTAACAACTAAATTAACAATATGAAGATATACGAATGGTTAAGCATATATCTATGTCTAGTGGTTCAAGTTAACAAGTTTAAGAGATATTTACTTATTGAATTAACTTTATCTAGCAAAAAAAACAACATACATGAAGTTGCAAATTGATGTAAATCTATGTCTAGCAATTGTACCAAATTGATGAGTTGAGTAAAGTCAGAATTACGATACGAATTTCTCAATAATTTCGTTCACAATTCATACAAAATGTGACCAATCTTAAAGTAAACGTTAAGTCCATAAACAATTCATAAGAATCATGATAATTATGACACAACACTAACACATAAATGGTAATAATACATTTATAATGTAAAATTTCTTTACACTACTACGACAAACCCTTTTCTCTTCTTATTATCTCATACAAAGAGATTATAATGGATTATCATATATTCCCTTCATGTAATTAAGAAATTGCATCATATTAGAAAGTTTAGCAATTTCGGTTATCCCTTCTTATTATCTCATCATATAAAGAGATTATGCTTAATTATATTTTTTATACGATAAACATAGGTACTTTTACTTTAGTCTCAATATAAATTTTAATAAAAAAATTCCCCATTTAGGTACTTCTACTTTAGTCTCTATAAATTTTAATAAAAAAATTCCCCATTTTACAAAAAGTGTGCTTTTTAGTCCACATTTGATTATCAAAACCAAAAACTCAACGGCCCACCCCTAATCATTTCTCTCACTGAAAGACCTAAAAAAATGCAGCCAAATACACCAAGTTTCCATGCAGTGGGAGTTTGTGAAGAGTGACTAAAAAAAATACTTACCTAAAATATATGATCCCTTTTTGAACGGACCTTGTCGTGGACGAATCAAAAAATCTTTTTTCATGCTCAGTAAAAAGTCAAGTAAAAAACAAAGTATAAAATGAACTATAAACGAAACTTCCCCAAAAAAATGACATTTGGAAAAATAAGATTAACGTTATAGTTCAAAATAGTAATTATCCAGAATTTGGTCAAATGTATACAAACAATCTTGCCCTCAGAAGCGAGGAGATTGTTTCCACAACTTGAACTGGTGACTTC